CTCTGTTGGCTAATCTGGTGGTTGCCATGGCTGTGTGCTCGCTGAACCGTGGAGTGGAGATCTCATGGTCCCAGGTTCAATCCCATCTGCTCTCTCCTTGTGTTTCATCTGTAGGGCTGATATACAAATGATAGTGCACCTTTGGATGAGACGTTGGTCCCGTGTACACGTTAAAGAAACCAGTACACACTTCGAAAGAGTATACAGGGAATTGTTTCCTGGTGCAATGCCCAATTCACCATGACCCCACTGGAAATCTTTGAACTTATTTTTGGTGTGATTCACACCAGAAATACACCACTCACATCCTACCCTCGTCTCATACGTTTGTAGAAGGTGTACGATAAGTCTAAAATTGTAATTCATAATTTACTTTATGGTTATTGTAATCGTTTAACAGATTGGATAATACAAAATATTAAAAAAGAAATGGTATATAAAACACACACACACACACACAAAAACAACAAGCAACTTAAAAGTACTTTGTTAAAATCGCTAAAAACAACGTATATTAATTCCAGAAAATGTAATGACTAAAATTAGAATAAAAAGGATAAATAGCAAATTTAACTATTTAATAACAAATTTAATTGAAATAAATTACAAAATTGTTACAATTCAATTATTAAAAAAAAATTCTAGAGCAATCAAAATGGGAGGAAATTAAATATTTGTCTTTTCATTGTTGCGCTATTTTTCACTGTCTTTATACAATACTAATAGGATTGATTGATAGATGTACAGTATGCGTGGGGAGCTAATCAATACACCAAATGATTACGCTAACAACCAGTTAATAACAATGACATAAGCAAGTTGTTTTTATGGTTGATTACACACATAGTCGTCAAAAACACAAGGAATGTAAGAATTTATTATTTATGCATTATTTAATGCGAGAAATATGTCCGGTTTTAATTACGGTAAGCTGGCTTTATTACTACTAAATTGAACATGTTTAAAGTTCCAGACAGTAACCATGTACCTAGTGTCGACGCAAGTGGGGCAGGGGGGCTTAATTGGGGGGGGCAGGGGCCTTAAGTCCCCGACCGGAGGTCAAGCCCCCCACCCCGCCGGACAGAGCTCGTCGGGCAGTCAGACCATAAAACATAAAAATAGGCCCACACCAAGTCAACACGTGTCTGTCACAGTCTGAGCGTGCCATTTTCGGACATCCAGAGGTTGATATTCTTTAAAAAAAAATCTCATTTGGGAGGGGGAACTCCCTCTCAACCCCTTTCTCCAGCTCGAGCCTACGAACTCAAGTCCCCCCTGTCGGACAACTTAGCCCCCAGAAAATATATTCTAGAGCCGCCACTGCACGTACCGGGTGATAAGAATAGACGGGAATAAGGTTGATTGTATTTATTGAATGAGAAATTGATGAAGCCACACATATGGATTGTATAAGATTTTCTAATCTCTGTTTTGTAGATTTGTGTTCGACTTATATATCTTTTTTTAATAGATTATTTTAACAGATATTTAGAATTGTCCGTCAATCAGTTTTAATAGACTTCTATAGAATTAACATACAATTGTATCGACAGTTATGTATTTTATAGAAAGGTTTATAACAGATTAATTACCGGTATGAAAAACTATTATGAATGCTTATCGTATTCGAACAGTAATTGGAAGGTCTTGGGCTCGGATCCGATAGGGAATAATGTTTATCTCAAATATTATTAACTGTAATTATTACCTGTGGAGTTGTATCTCCATATCTAAATTACCCTCATGTTACTTAGGATTATTTATTGCGTACTTCGCAATACATTGTGGAAAAATTGTATTGGTAGGAAAAATTATATTGACATAACTCTTTAAAAACAAATTATGATGGTTGAAAGACAAAAAAAAAACTATTATGAAAGAACTTCATAGAAATTAGATAAAAATTTTCATAGAAAAACCAACCGGTTTCTATAGAATGTTCATAGACATGGCTGAACGTTTTGCAGATATACCCTGATGCACACCAAGGGGTGTTGGTGACCCGCCTTTCTCGGCCCACAACCAATTTATGGGGGTACGGCTATAAATGAATACATGCAATAATATTTTTAGAAAGGAAAGGACAAGTGCTATTACATTATAATTCTAATAATAGAATAGTTCATTTACTACAATAAATTGCAGTGAATATCAACAATTAATATTATTTCTATTATTATTATTTATTGATATTTTATTAAAATTAAATTTGATGTCGAATAATGAAACGTGTGGGCTGCCGGCACCAAGACCTCTAATGATCAGTGCGTTTTTGTTTTTTTTTTACAAAAAAGGAAATTCAATAATGACGTATTGGTTATTATTGTATTTTCGGTAAATTTTTCCTATTCTTCCTTCTTCATCATTTATATTTCAGAGTTATTTTACTGATTGCTTACACATACACTCATTAAGTATTTTAAATATTTTTTTATATGTTTTTGCGCTGGTCTATGTATACATTGTGTCTATAGTTAACATATTTCAATCATTGTTCAATTTAAATTTGACAATTCCCTTTAAATGGTCCTCAACACCCTACTCCAGATCGTCGCCAACATTTAATCATTTCTTTTTTGGACCATGGTAAGCCGCTTTAAAGTTTTATTTAGATCTTGGAGAATTTTTGAGATGTTTTGTATGGGACGTTGGCACTTTAAAATGACCCTCAATTTAACACCCGAATTGGGATCGTCATCAAAATTCAATATTTTTTTTCTTTTAACGTGGTTAAACCTTTTAGAAAATTTCATTTAGATCAGTAATCATTTTTTGGTATATCAGGTCCGGTACATTTCCCTTTAAATGGCCCTCATATCTACACCCTACTTTGGATTGGCACAAGAATGTAAGCATTTCTTCATATGACCATGACAAAATATTCTGTAAAGTTTCATTTAGATCCATTGATAACTTATTTGAGATATTTGGGCCTCGGACGCTAGCACATTAAAAGACCCTGAAATTCACACCTGAATCTGGATCGTCACCAAAATTGAATGATTTCTTCCTTGTAACTTGGTCAAGCTTTCCCGAAAGTTTCATTCAGATCAGTTTTTGAAATATTTAGTGTGAAATGTTTTCCTTTAAATCCCTTTAATTCGACATCCACACCCCACTCTGGATTGTCGCTAAATTAAGAAACACATCCTTGATATATGGACTATGCTTGGAAAAAGTTTTAAAACGATCCAAGCACGGAAAACCGAAGTGCCGGGCGGAAAACCCCAGTGCAAAAAGATAGGAAAAACGTGTAAAAGGAAAAAAAAACCAAACAAACAAACAGTGGCTTTTCTAGCTACTGCTAGGAAAAACCAATAATAATTATAATAATAATGATAAAGATAACGATAATGATAATAATAACATTAAATTGCTCATTTAAAAACTGTTCCCTGTTTAAAAGGATATCAAATAGTATTGTATCAACTTTCAATGATAAAGATTAGAACAATTCAATTAATTTCTCTGCTAATTTTTAGATTAAGTTTTTTATTTAATGTTGCCAGTCAATCGGCCGAGATACTGGTACAAAGAATATAAGAATGTATTATTTATGCATGCATTTAGCGAGAGAATATTTCCGGTTTTAATTACGGTAAACTGGCCTTGTTATTACTATTTCATTGAACATGCTGGAAGATTAAATGCTGATAGATTAAATCTTTAATTTAATTTTGCCAGTCAATTGGCCCAGATACAAAGAATATAAGAATGTATTATTCATGCATCTACGTAGTGAGAGAAATTTATCCAGTTTCAATTACGGTAAACTGACCTTATTATTATTATCTAAGGACCGGGTGATAATAATATTTATACATGGATATGCGGTTTGATAGCATTATTAAATGATGAACTTTTTTAAAAACGTTAATTTACGATGATGAGGACCTAAGATAGGCCTACCGAAGTACAGGAATACGTGAAATAGGTAACATGGGAACGGGCATGGAAAGCGACACGCCAATATTTTTTGTAAGCGCCGCTCTCGAATTTGCGCCTCTCTCGAATAAGCGCCGCACTGAAGCCTCCAAAAAATATTTCGAGCATACGGTAACAATAGTTTTTTTTTAAATAGTATTTTTCTTCTTTTTAAAAGGTAAGGATAAGTGCTATTGCATTATAATTAAAATTATAAACATGGAAGCCCTTGTAATTCATTTACTAAAATAAAATGCAGTGTATATAGAAAATGAACGAATAAAAATACATAAGATAAATTAGTAGGTTCCCTAAACATAATCATTTCTAAACAGTTTTATTAATGCTACCTTAGACCATGCCTACACTTCGAAGTATCTTTATAAATAATAAATAATAAATTTATTCTTATATAGCGCAAAATGCAAGAAAAATCTAAGCGATTTACAATGAAAGGAAAAACCGGATCAAAATAAAAGAAAAATAATTACAACAGTGAGGGAAATCAGGTTAACATTATGAATGAATATTTATTTATTTATTTTAATTTATTTTATTTATTAATTAATTTATTTTATTTTATTTTTATTTATTTATTTTTTATTTATTTATTTATTTTATTTTTTTCTTTCAATTACCTTCTCATTCCATTTGGTTACTTTCCAATTTATTATTGATTTCTTATACATTCAACTATTTCACAGTTTAAATTTTTCTTATGTGTTTGGCTTGTCGTGTCTATCCTTTCCTCACAGCCCTTGCCTGTATTTCCCAATCCCCATTTCCTTTCCTTTTCTTATGTTCACATAACTTTCCTTCATTTTTCATTCTGATGTTACCTTATCTTTTCCTTTTATCTTTGAGTGTAGCTCATAGTTGTTGTTTCTATTAACACTGGCTTCGATCGTTTGAGTATGTTGAAAGTCAAGGCATTGTTGAATGAAAATTAATAAATACTGAGAAGTCGATATATATTGAACAATTTAGGAACTAAGAATTAGGGCTTCCTTATTGTGTAATACTATATCCTGGTTTTGTAATCAATTTTTGTTTTGTTTCATTTAACAATATCATAACTTCGCTTTGTGAATACTTTAAGTAAGTTGTGCAGACTACGCTGAGACCATCACCATGGCTCTATTTTACAGTCTTATGAAGGTAAGCTAAACAATTTAATATTTAATCTTTAGCTAAAAGTGCTTTACAATAGATATTTGAATAGCTTATTTTATTTATATTTAATAAGGTACGGTATTGGTTGACAGTGCATAATATTCTTATTTTTATCGCATAAGCCATATTTATTTAACTGGTAAGATTTTTGTAGTAAAAGGTAGGTGATACAACATAATCGTTTCGATCGTTTTTCTTGGAAGTTGATAACATAATCCTTTTAGATAATCAAGTAGGTGTTTAAAGATGATATTGTCCCTTGAAAAGGACAAAAATAATTCTGAAATTAACTTTCTCATTTTGCAGTAACATACAAGCTATTAACTTGCGTATAGAAATTATTGAATTTAGAAAATGTGTACTCTGATTTTTGAACTGGATAGGTCTAATTGTAATAAAAATAATAAAACAGTTTCAGTGACTGGATGTGTTAAATGATGGGTAAACATTTTTTAAATACATTACACTAATTTCAGTGTTCAAGTTGAACAACCATAATTGTTCGGAAATGTTCGGATACTCGATTGTTTATTATTCCCATTTGTTTGTTCCCTTATCTCTGGTTTGATTTATTCACAGATTTTGCTTTTGGGAAGTATATTCATTTGCAAATCTGGTAAGAATACCGTAATTCAGCAAATTCTATATTTAGTTATTTTGTATTTATGTCTGTATGTCCGTGACGGAGAGTGCCAAAAATAAAAGTTATTTTAATTTGAAATTACCATTATTTGCTGTCGCAGGTTTCGCTAAACATATTAATCTCGCCTAAAATTATGGGAAGAATTAATGAATGTTATTGAATAATGTAAAAGTAATTGACACTTAGCAATGACGTTTTCTGTTTTGGCGTTAAAACTAATAAAAGCAATAAGGCAACAAACTTTACTGCAAAATTTTCATTCTCTCAAAGTTTCACTCTTGTTTTTCGTGCTTACTCTCAATCTTCTGTGACTGTTTTAAGTCATGCTTATCTTCTTAGTTTCCCTTTCTTATTATGTTTATGTAAGGATTTTTACTATAATATGGGCCCTGCTTTTCCTAGGTGTAACGATTAATGTAGGGTGCTAGCGCTTTTTGTCTGCAAAGTATAATCTGTATATAACAATAATAATAATAATAATAAAAGTTGTAGTAGTAGTAGTAGTAGTAGTAGTAGTAGTCCATGGCCGGTGGAACCGGGGGGAGAGGGTGCGCCCCCACCCACTTTTTGGCAAAAAATATATGTCTGGAGATTTTTGTATGATCGGAAAGAAATGCAAGAAAAAAAAAACGAAAGAAGGAGAAGGATGTGAAAGAGAATGTTTATCCAGTCCCCGACCGAGTTACATTTTCTCGCAATTTACATTGGCGGATCTGGGGGAGGCGGTCGTCGGTACTGACCCCTCCCTTGGGCCAAAAAAAAATTCTAGACCTACCTTTTCAGGACCCGTGAGCTGTTTTTTTTTACACTTAAGAAAATTAGAATTTTGAAGAACATGAAAGTCATTGAAACACAAATGTCGAAAAAGCTCATTTCCCGCCATCTAGGAATCACAATTTTCCCGGGGGAGAACCCCCGGACAACCCTTTCTTGTTGGGATTTATCGATTCATAGATAAAAGAATACGCATGCAACTACTCATTTGTTTATGTGTGTACACACATAAAATAAAAAATTGATTGAGAGATTGATTGATTCATTATAATAATTTTCAAGAGGGGAAAACCTTGAATTTTAAAGAACTTAAAAGTAATTAAAAGACACCTTAAACATCGGGAGAACTAACAACTACTCATTTGTTTATGTGTATACACACATAGAATAAAAAATGAGAAAAATTTACCTGACCGTTTTCAAGAGGGGAAAACCTTGAATTTTGAAAATATTAAAAAGTCATTTATGAATGACATTTCAGAAGTCAGGAAAGCTCATTTCCCGCCATCTAGAAATCGAAATTTTCCCGGAGAAACCCGGATTCCCCTTTTTCTTTGGTGTGCATTGATTCATTAAATCATTTTCAAGAGGGAAAAAGCCTTGAATTTTGAAGAACTTAAAAGTACCGGTAATTCAGAAGCCGGGAAAACTAATTCCGCCTTCTAGGAATAAAAATGTTCCCGGGGGAGAACCCCCCCCCCCCCCCCCGAAAAAAATCGTATGCAACTACTCATATTTTTTTATGTAGGCCTATGTATACACACATAAGGCATATTTACTGTAACAGCAAGTGGAAACAAATTACCTGACCGTTTTCAAGAGAGGAAACCTTGAATTTTGAAGAACTTTAATTAAAATCGCTAAAAGATACTTTGAAAATCGGGAAAGCTCATTTCCCACCATTTAGAAATTAACATTTTCCCGGGGAGAATCCGAACCTCCTTTTTCTCTTTCAGTTCATTGATTCATTATAATAGTTTTCAAGAGGGGAAAACCTTGAATTTTAAAGAACTTAAAAGTAATTAAAAGACACCTCAAAAGTCGGGAAAACTAACAACTACTCATTTGTTTATGTGTATACACACATAAAATAAAAAATGAGAAAAATTTACCTGACCGTTTTCAAGAGGAGAAAACCTTGAATTTTGAAAAATTAAAAACTCATTTATAATGACATTTCAGAAGTCAGGAAAGCTCATTTCCCGCCATCTAGAAATCAAAATTTTCCCGGGGAGACCCCACCCCTTTCTTTTTGGGATTTATCGGTTCATGGGAAAAAATCGTATGCAACTACTAATTTTTTTTTTATGTATGTATACACTCATAAGTCCTATTTACTGTAAAAGCAATGGGAAAAATTACCTGACCCTTATCAAGAGGAAAAAAAACCTCGAATTTTGAAGAACTGAAAAGTACGGTGATTAAGACACCTCAGAGGTCGGAAAAGCTCATTTCCCACCATCTAGGAATTAAATTTTCCCGGGGGAGAACCCCCGAATCCGCCTTTTCTTCGGACTTTTCGATTCATGGAAAAAAGAATAGCCTACGTAGGCCATACGCAACTACTCATTTTTTTAAATGATGCTTACACACATATCAGGCCTATTTACTGTAATAAGAATGAGAAAGTTTACCTGACCGTTTTCAAGAGGGGGAAAACCTTGAATTTTGAAGAAAAAAGTCAATAGACACCTAGCTCAAAAGGTACGCCCCTTACGCCCCCCTCTAAATCCGCCACTGTATATTATAATGACGCTATTTCAAAGGCTATAGGCATTATGCAAAACCGAGGGCAAAAAGAAAACACGTCAGGGATCTCGCGCCTTATGTGCCAAGGGATACAATTGGTACTGGCGATGTTGTTTTTATTACTCCTGGTCATTGGATCCATGATAATCAATCCAGCACAAAGGACAAACTCCTCCACTCCCCCGGAGTATTCCTAGTCGTGCTTATTAATGCCGAAAAGCCACTACATTTAATGCTACATCATCGTACTACGTATACCCATTTATACTCCAATAAAGTGCCTTGCCCAAGGACACAACTTATTCACAGTGAAGTTTCGAACCACCCCCCCCCCCCCCCAACCGGGGGGGGGGAGA